TGTAAACACACGGCAGCGTTTTCCCTACTGCTGTCTCTGAGGGCTGGTTTAACTCCCAGCACTCTACATCTGCAAGTGTAGCCATGCCCTTACATTCCTCCCCCCAGGTCTGTGTATTTATAGTTCTTGGATTCTGTGGCCTTGTGATATGAACTGCTGTCTCTAGCTGTTGTTGTGTCACTTTAGATCTTTGGGCAGATAAAGGTATGTCTCAGTTACAAGGCACTCGAGCAGGCTAGATTTCCTTCCTTTCCTACCCCATCTACCAGTTCTCCTGGGATGCTGGTCTCAAGATATGCAACTTCTTGTGCCTTTTTCTTATCATTCGCCTGGTTCTCTCAGAACACTTTGTAACACAGGTATTAACATCTGGGAGTGCTTCCAAAAGCCGTCGCTGCCCTGGGGAAGAAAGTCTAAGAGTATGTTGTTTTCTTGAAGTTAATCTGTATGTTATCAATAGCTCTTCCTCCTTCAGTGTCTGAAATACCAGCAAGAGCAAATGCCACTGGAGATTCTAGTAAATCCGATTAGAACCAGGTAATTAACAGAGGGTGAAGTGCAGGTGATGGGGAGTATTAGACAGGAAATTTCATTTTCCCACTCACATTCATGCCCTTGACTCTAAAATCCCAAAATTTCCACCTTATGGTGGAAAGGGAGGATCTGACAACTCGTGCTCTCCAAAAGACTCTGATTTGCACTCCTCTCTACAGCTGGGCTCCCTTAAAATGCCACACAGAGATGCAGTCACCCTCTACACGAAGCGTTACTTATATAAAACACAACACAGGAGCTAACCAGCCTCTCGCTACTTTGCAGATCACAGGAGCCAAGGAGACCAAAGAGAAAATAAACGACATTCCAAAGAGGAAGCACACCAGGAGGTAGCAGGCCTTGTAACTCACTTTTTATTGTCTATATGTTGAGTTTTCCTCTGCCTGTTCAGTTGTAAATTATTATGATCATTATTATTTAACTTACAACCTATACCATGCAGGGGAGGGGCCTGGCTTTAACCCACAGAAGGCAGGAGACTTGGAGCCAGAGCTGAAAATCCTGGCAGTTGTGGTTCTGAATAATTATATAATCCATACCAGAGTTTTAGTTGGGCTTTCTTTCCCTCTCACCCAAGAACATGAAGAGTGCTGAACCTTAACTTACTTTCAGCTTTGAGTTGAGCCCCATTGTCACCCACAGCCACGGGGCTTCTCTACACTCCAAAAACTAACAGAACTCGGGTATTTTAAACTTGGAGTGTTATTTTCTTCCAGTTATATAGCCATGGTAACAGGGTGCAAGCCAAGCATTGAAACTTCTGGTTTCCCTGGCTGTTCTGAAGCAGAATGTGTCTGTCCATAAGCTAACTCCAGATCTTTGTCAACAAGCTGGGAGCTGAACTAGCCACCCATTCAACAGGGCTGCCACCCATTCAAGCACAATGGGGGGAAGTCTGATTTTAGGGAGTCTTTAGGCTGTCAAACTTATTTTAAAATAATGATCACAATCCCGTTATTTGCAGTGGTGGTGTAGCCATGCCAGTCCTAGGATATTAAAGAGACAAGGTAGGGCAGGTAACATATTTTATTGGGCCAGCTTCTGTTGGGGAGGGAGACAAGCTTTCAAATTTACTCAGAGCTCTTCTTCGGGTCACTGTGTAGCTTGAAAGCTTGTCTTTCACCAACAGAAGTTGGTCCAATAAAAGATGTTCCCTCATTCACCTTGTCTCTCGTACTCCTGTTAACACTCCTACTGCAGTGGCTACTGAAGGGCCTCAACCATGGTCTGGGCCCATCGTGCTAGGCTTTGTACATACACACAGCAAGACCGTCCTAGCCCCATAAAGCTTACAGTCGAAGTGGATGCAGATCTACCCTCTCCCCACAGGGTTTCCATGCTGCTCTTGTTTTCCAGCAGAGATGACCACGGCCCATCAAGTTCTCCAAAATGCCAGTTTTAGTAGTCAGGGCTGCCCAGACCGGGGAGGGGGGGAGGTGGGGAGGAAGTGGGGCAATATAGTATTCTATGGTATTGCAACTTTTTTTTATGGAAGGGGCCCCCAAAATTGCTTTGCCCCAGGCCCCCTGAATCCTCTGGGTGGCCCTGGTTTTAGTCACACGTTCTCTCAGTTCTCTCCATTGCCCTGGAGCTGCTGGCATCCAAGTAGCAATAAGGGGGTTTGAAATCCTTTCCCCTGTCTGTGCAGGGCCCTGCCACTGTTCTGAATATTTTATGGAAGTTCCGAGTTTCCCTGCGCCCCATGACGAGGCTGGCACTGAGCCCCAGCAGTGGGATGCGGTAGGGCACACTTCATGCACATACATGTGTTGTGCAGGTGCAGCAGGAGCTTGGGGAAGACATGCTGCAGCGGCCGTAAAGAGCATTACCTAGTCTCATGCCACCAAGAATGATCCAGAAGAAGCTACAATCAAATTTGGAAACCTGTCATCATTATGGCCAGCTCTCGGTAACACCCATACCTAAGTCTGGCTAAGGCTTCCTCTTGCAAGCCTGTGTGGTTGGTTGCTTATAAACTTTGCCAAAATTTAAGCACCTAGGCTGAAATTTTCACTGTCAGGACTCTGCTCATTTTTTTGCTAATGTTAACTGAGTATTTTTCCACCCATTTCTTTGAAGCGCTCTTGTTCCTCTGTGTTTTTGAAGCAGGGATTTGAAATTGGGCAAAGTGATGGGCTGGGGTCAGAGGTGCCTTTTACGGTTCTCATGAAAACACTTAGGGCTAGTCTACACTACAAGCACTACAGCAGTGCAGCTGCGCCGCAGTGTGTCTGGTGAAGACGCTCTATGCCGAAGAGAGAGAGTTCTCCCGTCAGCATAGCGCTGTTCACAGCAGCACTTAGGTCGGTGTAACTTACGTCGATCAGGGGGGTGGCTTATTGACTCTGCTTTTCCACTGCCTTGGGTTAACAATTCTCTGCACATCAGAGCTTTTATTAGCGGGAGAGGCCTCTTACTGGGGGAGTATCAGTCTAACTCCCTCTGCCCCCATTCATTTGCAGATGTCTGTAACTAAGAGGTTACACAAGGTCACTCCTACCAGGACTGGTTGTAGAATTCAGCCCTGTAGGGTAACAAAGTGATTGGGAGTTGGGTTTGCCATCTTAGTTTTGTTGGCGATGGAAAAAGCACACAGAGGTAGCATGACTAACCATTAGCCCCAGGGCCGCCTTAGGGCCAGGCAAACGGGACCCATGCCCAGGACGCTGTAGCCGGAGGGGTGACAAAGGGGCTCGGGCTTCCCCTGGCCTGCTGTGGCCGGACTCCTCTCTTCTCCATCCCCTCCTTCATGCTGGGCCGGCGGGCTTCTCCCCGCCCCCCTGGCCATTCCCTCATTTGCTCCTCAGCTGGCCGGCTGAGGGCTCCGCCTCTGCCCCAGCCCCGGGGAGCCCAGAGCAGCGTGGTTGGGGCTGGTCACTGGCGGCGCGCCCCACCACTCGCTGCCCAGAGCAGAGCCAAGTCCCTCCCTGCCTGCAGCCCTGCGCCGCTCGGGTCTTCGGCAGGGGCTGGCCAGGCTAGGGCCAGGGGGAGCGAAACTTCAACGTGAGTGAGGAGCGCAGGGGGGACTTAAAGTGACAGTGCGCTCACTGTCTATCAAACTTCCCCAACATACACCCACACAGGCTGTCACACCCACATACACTCTGCCTCTCACAGTCCCCCAACACAGATTGTCTCTCACACACACACACAGTCTCACACTCCCCAACACACACACTGTCTGTGAAAAGGTTATGATTTGCTGAATATGTTTATGTTATCTGTATGCATGTATCATTTTTGTATTTGAAGTAATGAGTATTGGCTCTATACCTGGATGTCAAATGTTTGTTCCTAGGGTAATTCCCACAAGGTAGTTAGCCAGCACATCTTGAAGGGACGAGTCAAAGTAAGTGGCTCGCCAAGGAACACTTAATTCACACTGGACCATGGGAGACGCCCATCTACATTGAATGGACTTTCCATATGAAATGTAGGTAATGGCCCGGAGGTGAGGGGCCATAGGAGCCAGGGGTGATGGAGGGAGCACCATCAGACAAGTTTGCCCAGGGCACCATTGTCATAAGGCCGGCCCTTATTAACCCTCAATGCACAAACCAGGAATAGTGCCTGATAGTATCCTGATTCCCACCATTCCTCTACTAGCTAGCAAATAGTCATGTAAGCCATTCCACTGTACTGCTGTTACTATTAAATAGCTTTATGTTGTACACATAAAAGGTATTAGTTCAAACCCTGCCATTAGTTCACCTGGCTGTCAATATAGCTCAATAGGATGGCAGGATTGTGTTTGTTTTAGACACTAGAAAATGACTTACAAAAAGCTACATTAGAAGAATATTAAGGTTGCAAAGTCAAGCACTCAAATTAAAAAATACTAGTAGGAAAGATTGCCCATGTAATCACAAATCTGCACCTCAGGCATAGGTTTTTAATGATGCCGTTTTTAATTGCATCATCACCTACAATTTAGTCTATGGGACCCCTGCCTCAGTCAATGCTCAGGGTAGACACTACATGAGGTGATGAGTGGCAAGAAAAAAATTGTTGTCTTGTATTGAAGGCCTGAGGCTGAAGTGAGACAGATTCTATTTCAGACTCTGTCACAGACTTCCTGTGGTTTATTGTGTGTTTATGGAAGTGTGTGTGGGAAGGGCAGGAGTGGACAATCTCTGTTTGGGCATTTCCTATCTTTTCAGTGCTGGATTCTGCAACTTTAATGTCACTTCTACAGAGTATAACTCCAGTGTCATTCAGCTCTTGCATGTATCTAGCAGCCATGGTACTCATGTATGTTTGTCACTGTTACATTAGTGTTAGGATTTTCTTTTATAGCATTCCTATGTCTGTGTTAGGAGTAATACAAGTAAAATAACAGAGAGAAATATTACCTCATGCTGTCTCGTTTCTAATCTGATCTCCCCCTCCCTCCGCACTCTCAGCAGTTTGGTGAGGGCTCCTTACCTTACCCAAGCTGCACCTACCTAGCCAGTTTCTGGCTTCTCCACTCACACGTCCTTGCTGATTAGGGCAGATTCAAACCCAGCTCCTTCAGACTGCCATCCAAACCCTTCTGAGCTCTGTTTCCTTTCCCTCCGGAGGTAAATGGCATCCTCTTTCTCACGTTCTCTCCTGAAAAGTTGATTGACCAAAGTCAGAGACAAAAGGTAGATGATTTGGGTGCAAACCACAAAAGTACTTAGCTGCCTAAACCCCAGATTTAGGCATCTACATGCCAGTTTGGGCTCCATAAAACTCCCACCAAACCCTGTAGGTGTCTTAATTCACTGAGCACCCAAGTTCTCAGGGTAAAAGTTCCCTCAGTGCATGTTTTTGTCACTGGGCTGCCTCCCTGTATGCAAAGGGGGAGGTTGGACCTGTCTCCCATGTAAGCTCCAGAGTGATTCATGAACTGTGGGGAGAAAGGTGGGGGACCTGATCCAGTAGGTAGCCTCTGAGCATGCCTACTCGATCAAGGCCCATTTAGAATCTGGCAGCAAGGTGGTGGTGCCGCCTACCTTATAACTTAACTTATAGCCCAGAAGTTACAACACTCAGCTAGGATGTGGGACACTGCGCCATGGTGGATAAATACTTAAATAGAGCTAGCAAGCGAAAATGATGCTGTAGCCCAGGAGTTTGGGCACCCCTGGGGAACGTAGGAGTCCCAAGGTCCAGTCCTCCTGCTCCAGTCACTTGCATTATTTCTCCAACCTGCAACAACTTCAACAGGAAAGGTAGAGGGAGCCCCCACATCTGCATAGCCTGTAACTCAGTGGTTAGAGCACTCTCCTGAGAGGTTTGACACCCCTGTTCAAATCAGTGTCCCCCCAGCAGAGGGAAGTGAACCCAGGTCTCCCACATTGCAGCTGAGTGCTCTAACTACTGGCTAATATTTGTACAGGTAGACAGCTCTACCCCTTCCTCAGGAGAGGATGCCTGAGCTGTGTGACTGCAGATGGCTGGTTCCTATTCATGCTTCACGAAGCAGAGCTAAGTCCCTAAATTTGGGTTGCAGGGAGGGCCTACCTTCAAGAGCGGGGCAAGGCGTAGGACATGCTTTCTTGTCAGCATTGCCCATTAGCTAGCCTAAGCAGCTCCCCACTTCTGGCCTGCACCTGCACTCCAGCTGCAGTATGGTTTTGGCATGTCTACGGACTGTGATCCTTGTTCTGATCCCCACATATCCAAATATCTTGGTTTCACAGCCCTCCCTTGGGCCCAGTCCCTACCCGATATCCAGCTTCAACCTCAGCCTCATCCACTATGCCTGACTCTTGGGAGGCAGTGGCTGACCGAAACTACTTTCTGAGTGGGTCTTTCAACCAGTTTTGCACCCACCTGACTGTAATTTCATCTAAATCACCTTTCCTTCATTTGCCTTATTAAAAATTAAGATATATCAAGTCTACTACTCCCCCATCCCCCACCCACCCTGTCAAAGAACGAAATGAGGTTGGTTTAGCCATGCTGGGTATTCCTTGTCATCCTGTGTCTTTCGTTGTATCTGTATTTATTGAGTACAATGTAGCAATTGGACTCCACACCTAGCATGCTGGCTTGGGTGATGCTCATTCTTGGACTCCAGTCTCTGCCCGCGAAATGTGTCAAGAGCCAAGGCACCTACCAAGGCTGTGTGGAGCACGGTGTGTTGCTGTGATTTTTCTAGATAGCTAAAAGTCGGGCAGTGTGTAATCAGCCTTCCGAGGCCTAA